CCTCCACGGCGTAAGAACGAGGCGGCGTCAGAGTCTTCTTGGGTATAGGGTGAGTATCTACCTGGCCGCGTTATCTTGCTCTTCTGAAGAATAGTGAGGCAAGTCGACGTAAGCTTGCCTCCGTACGCGGGACTCGGGATCATCACACAATTCGATGACCGCATTGAGGGCTTCATCTTGCATTTCCGGAAAATACTTGTAGAAGCGTCGCATAAATGTCGACGCGGTGCGCCGCTCCTGAGGAGAATAGGCGAAAGGATCAGGGCTGGGATTCCTATGAGACACATTCTAATTTCCTAGTGATGATAGATCAATCATCTAGCGCAGTGGTTCCCAACCTATTTCTTCCATGCAGGGGTTCCGTAGGGGTTTCGCAGGTAGACTTTGGGGTTCCGCGCAATCCGCCATGGAACCCAAGGAAAGCCCGTTGGGGAACCTCTGATCTAGCGCGATGGAAGCATGCAACCGTGAGAGGAATGCGAACCCCGAGGTGCAAGAAAAATTCCTGACCAATTGGAAATTACAAATTACTGAATTACAAACCTCACAGGACCCACTCAGGGCTCGGAAAACGAATTCTCGGTAAATTTCGTGTTTTTCCAGCCAGGTTCCTTCCCTGACTGCTGTGCTCAATTCGATAGCTAACGCTTCAAGACGCGCTTGTGCCGCCATTGGGCCGATATGCTCTCGAGGCATGTTACGATCGAGATATCCGTCGATGAATAACCAACTTCGGCGGTCGGATGATCGATGCCGACTCAAGCACTTCGGGCGGAACTTGGTGTCGTTGATGCGCTGATGAGTGATCGCTCACTACCTCTGACTGACAATGAGTCGGGGGATTCGCATGGGTACTGTCGACTCCGACCCGGATGACCCTGTGGCTCTGTAGATTCTGCTCGCTAGCCTATGGCTGCTCCACAGTAGCGCGGATTCGACTCGACGATGCAGAAAGGCTCTGCTACGGAGGTGTCTGTTGTTGTCGGTCGTTGTTGTTCTTGCTGACCTAGCCGAGACCGACACTGCATCTATGGCCTGCGAGTTTTCTGTGACGTTGCCTGGAGCGCGTCTTGGTGCCGCTTGGATTGACCCTGGGGGTCGTGTACGGAGATGAGGACGCCGGGGAGCGCGCGGCTGACCGGAGTCAAGACGTCGGGACACGGCAGGGCGACGACACCGCAAGGCTGACAACGAACCCTCATAAACAAAAAATACACCGAGGCCTCTCTCACGACGAATCTACGATCAGGGCAATAGCCAGATAGCTTCCAAATATCTCTTTCAAGACAACGGAGAAGTCGAGTTGATGAACGATAGCTAGCGCTCACCGAATGAGAACTTCAAAAGACACCAAGTTCGTCCGTATGATCGACCCGTATGACCTGCTGCTGTAGAATGATGACTTCGTAACCGTGGATGGGGCGCTGGGTCTCTAGTCAATGAGGTAGCCGCGATGAGTTTCCTTAAATCGCGAAAGAAACGCGGCACACGGCCGACTGCAGAAACTGCCGATGATGGCGCCCCCTGCGGACAGGCCGGCCTCCACGATCCGGGATCCTAGACTGTGGTGAGTGACATGAAATTCGGTTTGTACGCTTGTACGCTTTTTACGGCGTACTCACCACTGGTGAGTCGGGTGACCAGACATGAAATTCAGTCCAGACTCTGGTGAGTAATTATTATCCTTCCTGGGAGGAGAAAATGACAACATGATCTCTACTGCCGTAAAGAGAACACTCTCTCCCGAAGGCTATTGGCGGCATTGCTCAAGATTCCCTTCTGCAGGGGGACGCCCAAGAGACTCTCGAATGCACATCTCCCTATCGTGAGGAGTCTACGAATTACGATATACAGAAG